TAAGGACAGGTAATAAACTATTAGGTCTGTAATTAGTTGGGAGGGACGCATCTCCTTCTTTCAAAATAGGAGTAACATTACCCGTTTTCCACAATGTAGGAAATACAGTCACTCAGTGATATATTATACAACAAACAAAGAGGTTCAGCTATAGATGTACAAATTCTTTTTAACACTCTCATGCTAATGCCATCAGGTCCACTAGATTTGTTTGCTGGTAAGGTCTTATCAGATACCTCCTTTTCGGTTACAATGACATTTGTTATACTGTTAACACAGCGATGGCTAACAGGTGGCAAAGTCTTGCCGCCATCAGTAACATTTGAAACAGATACAAAATATTCATTTAATGTTTGAGCTTTAGCCAAATCTGTAAAAACTGAAGGTATCCCAGAAGCATCAGTGACAAGAAGGGGAATGGGTCCCGATGAAGTAGTAACCACCTGATTGAGTAGACTGAGGTGATAAATAGTTATCAAAAAATAGATTTAATCTATTCTTTTTAGATTATTTACTTTATTCCTTTGCTTTTTGTACTTAAATAGCTCAGAAGTATTCAGAGATCGAAATGCTTTTTTCCTTAAACGTTCTCTTTTCTTTTAAGGATTTTACGAGGGGCGTTGAAAAAGTAGTCAAACTAACTATATTCTCGATGTCCAATGTTTGAAAAAAAGCTTCCATTTTATTTTGAAAGAATCATTAGCAAAGTCATATCCAATATTTCATGTGGGTAATGTGGTTAACGAGATATTAGTCATCACAACATTTGGGTATTATGTTTCTTGCAAATTTGCAGCAAATGGAAAACGATCTCCCATTTGGTATCTAGTAATAGTAATAGTCCGCTTATATGGCGCTCACATCCAGGCACATTGCCTGCTCACGGCGCTACGTACATTACTATCCCCGATCATAGGACACTATCGTAGTTTCCGATACCTTTTCAACTCCCTGGGGACTGTACAGCCATGCTGCCTGTTTGGAGCAATGAACTAAACACTCACATTGCCAGCACATACTCACGGGTACCCATTTAACAGCTGGGTGAACTGAGACAGTGTAGATCTAAGTATCTTGTCCAAGGATACTACGCAAATGTGCCCATCTCGGGAACCGAACCTCGGTGCCTCCTCGAAACCGGGCCTTCAGCGTGATAGGCAGACGCCTTACAACTGCACTATTGCGCTATCTCTTGGATAATGGTATACCCTCAGATAATATCATATAAAATATGTTCAGCATAGTATTGGATGCCTTCCCGTCATCATCAACATTCAAAGATTTGGATTGCTTGATTTACATTTAGACGGGGACTGTTTTTTTTAGGACACCCTCATTTTCAAAAACATTGTGTCAAGATATACAACATATTGAGAGCTGACACTTGTGTGACCCTTCAGTATTTAGTTTGAACCCTTGACATCATGTATGAATAAGTGAAAACTTTAGGATGAGTTATATCTTTAAGATGACGTCAACTGAAAGGGGGTGGGTAGTGTCTCCAAAACAAGCCCTTTCAGTAAACATGAAGGGGGAATCACTTGAACAAGCGATTATAGTTTAAAATTGCTTTTTTGTGCAGTTTAATATCTAAGTTTGACTTTTACCAACATACAACATGTTTTTGCATATTTTGTTTCAATTGGTGTAGGGGGATTCCCGCCAATCCTCCTTGATATAAAATTGGATCAAAATCTATTAATTCTTTCCTAAGTTCGCGGCTACCAAGCTTGGCATGTGCAAAACTGTTACGCCTTCGCTGTGACCTTTAAAATGGCCTCAAGGTCACTAAATTCCAGTGGTGGCGGTAAATCACGTCAATAAACCTTTGTACCAAATTTGAACAAAATCCATCATTTCTTTCTCGAGTTCTTTCAGTAAACCGAAGGGGGAGTCATTTGAACAAGCGATTGTAGTTTCAAATTGCCTTTTTGTGCAGTTTAATATCTAAGTTGGATTCTAGCCGACCTCTACCAATCTCAAACATACAAAAATGTTTCTTGCATATTTTGTTTCCTGAAGTTTAATTTGTGATGCATTTTATTGCTAGTCAGCTAGGCTATTCCATTTGTCCGAACCACAACATACGGAGACAGATCATTTAGCAGACCGGGTGCTGTACTCTGGAATTGATTACCTGAAAATGTCAGAAAATCGGAAACTATCAACAGCTTCCGATCTTGTCGCAAAACCATCCTCTTCAAACGAGCATTCGACTAAGCGCACATGAGCAGGACTCTGGATATGTAGCGCTATACAAATGTCTAATTTGATTTGATTTGATATACCCGTTAGAAACCCACCCCTACCCCACCCCACTTTATATTTGTACATATCAAAACCTCAAGAGATATTTGCGAAAAGACATGATACAGAGGACAGTAGGATTATATACTCTCCCCAAAAAGAAACGCATATATGAATTTCAACTGTATTTTTATGTTTATTTTGAAACATCTTGTAGGATTTATTAGTCAATGAAATATAGCGAAATTGCACACTGTGAATGCAGACTTATCCGTCTTTGGCACCAACTCGAGGAAAGTCAGTTTGAGTGTCACATGGAGACGTGTGGTGGCGCTGAAGTCAATACCTCGTGTGACCACCGTGGGCATCCAGAACTGCACGGCATCGCCTCGGCATCGAACGAATAAGTCTCAGAATCTCGTGTTGCCCAATCGCAGCCCACTCTGCCTGTAGTGCCCGTGCGAGTTGCTGAAGTGTCTGGGGCTGAGGGTTACGGCGTCGCACCCGTCTGTCCAGGGTATCCCACAGATGTTCGATCGGGTTTAAGTCCGGTGATCTTGAGGGCCAGGGGAACACATTGATGTTGTGGTTCTGGAGGAAGTCTGTAGTGTGACGTGCTGTGTGGGGCCTGGCATTGTCCTGTTGAAACAACTCCCTCTGGCGATCAATGATTGGAAGGAGGTGTGGGCGTAAGGTTTTCGTCACAGTACCGTTGAGCTGTCAGGTTGCCCTGGATCATCACCAAATCACTTCTCCTACGGCAGGTGATCGCTCCCCACATCATAACACTGTCCCGGCCGAATCTGTCCACCTGGGGAACGCAAGCGTCGGGGAAACGTTCACGTCGACGTCTGTACACCCGCATTCTTCCATCGCGTCGTTCCAATAGAAATCGTGATTCATCACTGAACCAGATTCTACGCCAATTCGGTAGATTCCAGGCCTGAACGCTGGTGCACCATTGAAGTCGATGTCGACGATGTTGGTCTTCTGGCACGTAAACCAGCCTCTCTCAACCTGTTTCTGACGGCCTGTGCAGAAAGCCTCCTCAATCCGGGTATTTGTCGAGCGGTATTGGTCACCGTAGCTGTAAGATGACGCAGGGGATGTACCTGGATGTAGCGATCCTGCGCCGCAGTGGTCAATCGAGGTCGCCCACTACGGGGGGCATCTGCTACCGCATTCTGCGGCCATATCTCTCCCAGACCCGTGAAATGGTGCTTTGGTGAACATGCATGCGTCGGGCAACTGCCCGTTGAGACTGGCCAGCTTCAAGCAAACAAATGGCGATATGACGGTTGGCTTCACTTAGACGTGGCATTTTGCGTTCGTCAACAATATTCCAATACAGTGAATAATCGACAGACAGCGATCAACCTTTTATACCCATCATTGAGACTATCTGATCCCCACCTTTCACGTGCATTGCATGTGTATTCTGTGACACTACACGCCGAAATTGAAAATCATGCTGTTACATACGGGTATTTTACGGATGGTGCGTTTTGTTGTGATGTTTCAAAACATAAACACCATAGGACTCATAAACAGAGCAAAACCTTTTGTAAAATGAATCACGTTTTAATTCATTGCTACATGAAATTGCTATTTTCATGATGCGTTTCTTTTTTGGGAGAGTATATATCAGGACGAATATCATTTTCGTCATTTGGCTAAGATTTGTCAATTCTTTCTTGGGTTATCGCGCTAACAATCTTTATCTTGGCAAAACCCTCAGATTTTTGCTGTGACCTTGAAAATTATCTCAAGGTCACTCCATTTCACTTGTGTCGGTGAATCTCGCCAATATACCTTGGTACTAAATTTGAACAAAATCCATCATTCTTTCTTGTGTTATCGCCCTAACAAGCTTATTTGATATATGAAATGCAACGAAAAACAAACAGCCGCGTATTTACGAGTGATTAAAACTGTTATTACAATTTACGTAAATATTTATTACATTTTACCGCAACGAAAATTATTACAATATACGCCAATTTTTATTACAATTTGCGTATTACAATTTACGTCAATTTTTATTACAATTTACGCTTTTATTACAATTTACGTCAAGTTTATTACAATTTGCTGCAAGTATTACAATTTGCGTTTTTATTACAATTTACGTCGTAACAGGCCTAACTTGGATTGTTGTTTTTTACCAAATGAATTCTTTCAGGTTATAAAACATTTAAATCACTGTAAAACCAGGGTGTAATTGTAACATCTTGTTTCTGGTAATATTCAGTACATACATCTTGCTATATATTCGATTCCCTATATTGGATACAATGTGTGAAGCCCATTTCTACTGTCCCCGCCGCGATATTGCAAAAAGCAGTGTAAAACCATATTCACTCACTTACACACTCACTCAAGTTCATATTTTATTAGTCGCTCTTTTAGGTATGAAAATAAACAAGATTGCTAAGGATCTAAATGTCATTATTGGTGGATCAATATTTTCTGACTTTCAAATAGTGCTGATATGAAGTATTCGTGGAAAGGTAACCATCTCTTGCCCTATACGTGGTACCAGCAAAGAGCGTGCAAAACAAATCGTACATTCTGCTATAAAGACACCAATTATGGTAAGTCAAAGGGAGGGAACAAAATCGGACAAAATCGGACTGTATTCGCCCATACTTTGAATACACAATACCTTCGCTTTGACGTTTTTTCATTCAAATTGGGAAACAAGGAATCATAAATTCTGTCAGTGACCTTAAAAATTGTAATGGCAAACATACCTTGTAGGAAGATAGAGAAAACAGCGAGCACAAGGTTTCTCATTGTAAGCGTCATGTTGATTCAGTATCTCGAAGTAGTTTGAATGTTTACACCTCCCACTGATACGTATCTATGATTGAAATTGATCCAAGCTGTAATATTAATGAAGAAGACTATAATATCGCTAACACCAACTCTGATTATTGATTTTAGACATGTCATTACGTAATATTTGCCGTGAGAGTTGCTAAGGACTACATACAGGGTCATGCCATACTGCATTGTCATTTCATGAAATGAAAAATACTTGTATGGTGCACTCAACTATTACGAATGAATGTACTCAGCAGCCATTACTCTTGGTAGACTGCTAACCTTGCGTAACAATAATTAAAGTAAGCTGACGAAAATCAAATATTTTCTTGTGGTCCAGACGTAACACTACAGAAGATGGGATTCCTAAGGACAGGAAGGTGAGTTCGAAACAACCTGGAATTTGACATGTATACGCTCGCCAACAAAGTTCGGAGGCATTTGAAAAAAATATAATTTTGTTTGTTTGTTATTTATCTCCACACTCCGCCATAGTTCAGCTATATGGTCTGCAAGTAATCGAGTCTGGACCAGATATTCCAGTGACTGACATCATGGGCATCGATCTACACAATGGGGATACGATGACATGTGTCAACCACGTCAGAGAGTCTGATCACCCGATCCCGTCAGTTACCTCTTACCACAAGCATGGGGTACTGAAGATCAATTCTAAGCCGGATCTTTACGAGTTTTGAAAAAAAGATTTTTGAAATACTGCTTCATACAATATTTCAGCTAAATAGCCAATGGTAGGACACAGGTCTTAATGTCAATAGATAATGCTCTCATGCTTCAAGGTACAATTATTGATCATTTATATATTACCTGTGATGCATCTAATATATGAATGATCATCACATTTGCGGGAAGGGCATAGGGAATGAACATTGCAAGCATTATTGTTACGTTCCAAGAATATTTCCAGGTCATTTCTTCTAGATTAATTGTTCCCGGTGTCTGTGTCAGATTGATCAGTAAGGAAAAATACCACGGGAGGGAGCATAAGATAAGTGATAAGCGATACAAAATGGTCGTAAGAGGCGACTAACGGGATCGGGTGTCAGGCCTGCTGACTTGGTTGACACATGTCATCGGTTCCCAATTGCGCAGATCGATCCTCATACTGTTGATCACTGGATTGTCTGGTCCATTATTTACAGTTCGACACAATATAGCTGGTATATTCCTGAGGGCGGCGTAAAACTAAACTCACTCACTTAACTAAATATTCTACTCCAAAAAGCACTAAAGAAGTTAAACATCAACCACAAATCCAAACACATTGACAGGGCGATAACTAAATTACAAACAGGTCACACAAAATTCAAGTCCCATCTACATAAAAAACCTAAAAACCCACAAAAGACAAATGCACACACTGCAACGAAACAGAAACGTCCGAACACGTCTTACTACAATGCACACAATACAAAAATCAGTTACAAAACGTAACCATAAAAAGCAAAACCAAAAAAACTCATCCAATATCAACCTAGCCATTTTGTACTTCCGCTCCCTCTCCACCTGCGACTTCTGATAAATTCAATATTGCTGAGTGTGGCGTAAAACAAAACTCAATCACTGATAAATTCATAGAAAAATGAATTATGCAACCCTAACGACTTCTACATGTTGCCCTATCTTTCCGTCATTATCACCCCTCTGTCGATCTCACACTGAAAGACTTGACGGGCGAAATACGCATCATTTTGGAAAGCGCAAGTAAAAGCTCCAAATCTACAATCGATCAATATTGGCGTGTTCTGACACAGATTCTTTTTAGGAAAAGGGGGCGGTGGGGTAGCCAAATGGGTAAAGCGCTCGTTCGTCACGACGAATACCCGGGTTCGATGCCTCACATGGATACACAGTGTGCGAAGACCCTTTCTGGTGTCCCCCGCCTGATATTGCTGGAATACTTCAAAAAGCGGCATAAAACTAAACTCACATTCTGGAAAAATTCTAACCCTGTTATTGACTGTTAACAAAGTGAGAGAGGACATGACCCCTTTTGTAGTTTGCTGATGTTTCGATAGGCTTCATGACTGCCGACATTGTAATCACTCACGTTGATTCTTTTTCTTCCAAATCCATTCATTCGGTCTTATGCTCTTGGACTGTGTCTGTTACGAAACTGTGCTCTTGAGACAAGGTGTTCATATCCATAAATAAAGTAAAATAGACAAAGAAGTACAAATCTACTGTGTTAGTACTCATGGTTAGCTGGGTACAGTGAAAGAAACTAAGGTATCGAAAGAGTCTGAACTCAATTGCCATGCATATGTAAGCTTGTTTACCAATTCAGTTCAATATAAGCTATACTAGCTGTAACAAAGATTGATGCAGCAATAATCAGGCCTGACAATCAGCCAGACACACAGACAGCTAATTAGACGGTCTGTGTTCAATAAATAATCGGGAGTTCATTATCAACTGTACAGGAAACAATAACAAAATTATAGTTCAGTTCAACGTGTACGCGAGACGGATCCCGTTACTGTTGGCTGTGGGTTGGTTTGTTGTTTAACGCCGCACTCAGCATGTTCCAGCTATTTGACGACGGTTTGTAAATAATCGAGTCTTGACCAGACAATCCAGTGATCAACAGCATGAGCATCGGAATCATCTGGAATGCTCTCCTTTCCACAATGTTAGCAGAAAATCTATTAATAACTCTTAGCATGACGACTGACGCGCGCCACCGAGTATACTTTCAAGGAATACATCAAGTAGAATTTCGCTAATGCTGGAAAGGACTGATTGAAACTAGTCATGGTATGCTCGAGAACTCAACCAACTTTTGGAATTGTAGTAATTAACGATCACAATACATATTCATTTCCCGCCCTTTCCATTTTTGGACATAAAGAGTCATAATGTGGAGTTCCTAGCATATTAATTGCCATATCGCTGGGTAGAAAGATCTTGGCAATTTAATCAAGGATGCAATCTACGAGACTCAGTGTAGCCTTGTTGTATACGCGGTATTGAATGACGGCATGGGATCGATGTTGTGTGGGGAGAGTTTTGAATTCAAGATTATTACGTAAATACATTAACGTGGTTATTCGTGTACCACACATGACTTCTGTCAATTTTACAGTGCGAACCCCTTGAGATACCATACCACAGTTCATAACGAATACCCGGTTTAGAGAGTCATATTGCCTCCAAGCGGGACCAATCCCCAGGTTGCTCCCTCTCAACCGTTCGCCAGGCAGAGTAACACATTTGATCTAGATTAGTGAGAGCATGATACTTTCTCAAGGATTGTATGACAAGAAACGTATTACATATTTGTTCATTCAATATTTGCTGCCACATGCTTCTGATGAATCGACAAGTAGCTGCTTTAAATCACTGTATGGAAACGTGGTGGTCGACATTGACGTCCAATGTGCAGATTTATATCCGCCTAGTTTCCAGTTCGTTAATCATAAATTGACATCAGGTTGTTTTGACTGCTGCGGTGACACTTCAGGCAGTTTGAAATCAACAATTGTAGACATATTTGCTTTCTGTTATATGTTGTTGAATGCGGACTCAAATTAGAGTAAGTGACTTTGGTGTCTTATCATACAAGGTACAGAGGAGGTAAAATGCAGAGATTGGATGGACTGGATTGGAGTTTACTAATATATTGCAGAGCCAGTTTTACCCCTATGATTTCAAGACAATGGTCATCAGCTTCCACATGTAATCTTCTTCGACCTTAATGGTGAATGGAGTCAATTTCTTGAATATATAATATACTAGGTGAAGCATGTTTAAAACAGCCACAATGACGCTTAGATATAATCAATTTTCTCCAGTGATAGAGAAGTCTTTGTTGGTGTCCACGTCATTTAGCATCTGAAGCTACCTTCGGTATATCGGGAGTTTTAAGCATTACAATTTTAATGTCAGGAATAAACGTCCATTTGTTGTCAAAGATTATTCCTAAAACATTGGTCTCTTTGATCACTTTGATATGAATTATACCTAAGAATAACACTGGATGTATTTTTACTGTACTGCAAAAGTAAATACAACATTTGTGGGGTTTTCTGTTTTCCATTAACCATTTGTGCATTGTGTTCTCGCAAACTTGTTGAAGTTGCTGTCTGTTAAAACCGCTGGTCTTTGTACCAATCAATATTTTAGGTTTATTTATGTTTCACCCGTTGCATAAGATGACTGTATACAAAATAACACCTAGGCTTATGGTTGTTTGTTTGTTGTTTAACGCCGCATTTAGCAATATTCCAGCTATAAGGCGGAGGTCTGTAAATAATCGAGTCTGGACCAGACGTTGCAGTAATCAACGTCGTGAGCATCGATCTAAGCAACTGCAATATGATGACATGTGTCAACCAAGTCAACCAGAGTCCCGTTAGTCGCCTAACGACTAGCATGGGTTGCTGAATTCTAAACCGGTTCTTCACGGGTATCAAGACTTATTAAATTCATTTGGACAACATTATACAGTCATAAAGACATTGTTCGTATCCTGTGCAAAATATTAATATACATGGAAATACATATAGCTAAATAATGTGCATAAGCTAGTTAATTTTGTTCGTTTTATATATGCAACCATAACTGCTGAGACGACTGGTACATTTTCGGAGTGTAAGATACCTTGGGTTTTGTTTAAATTAGCAGAAAGGAGTGAGTGAGTGGGTTTAGTTTTACGCCACACTCAGCAATATTCCAGCTATATGGCGGCGGTCTGTAAAGAATCTAGTCTGGACCAGACAATCCAGTGATCAACAGCATGAGCATCGGGGATTGGGAATTCGAACCGATGACATGTGTCAACCAAGCCAGCGAGTCTGACCACCCGATCCCGTTAGTCGCCTCTTACGACAAGCATGGGTTACTGAAGGCTCATTCACGGGTCTAACAGAACGGAAGTAATGTATTAAACCTCATACAAAGGACAAAGTTTTACAACATGTAATTCATCTTCAATCTTAAGAGATTAAATGCCATTAAGATTATAATTACAGGCATTTTTCAGTTCTAATTATCCACGAATTTGTATAATTGTTGGAAATATTAAATATTTTATGCTCGAACCGTGACATATATCAGTATAATCACTAAGCTTTATGCAGAGTCTAACAACATAGGGTCTACAAGGTACTGAAATTAGTGTGATGTCCCTTCATTCTAATATCTTGCATATCTGTTCAAGTGATATGTTCCAAATTGACGGCATTTTACTCTTTTCAAAGCAGTTTTGTTTTTTCTGTAAAGTAGTCAAGAGAAGTTGTGTTTTAACACCTCTGCTGTACACCATCTATTCCAGTAGATTTACCAGTGTCTGTTTGGTTTAAAACAACCAATACGAGACCTCCAACACTGAATAGAGACGCTCATATTAAATGCACGTGCAGCTCGCTCCCCCAGCTGAACACATCAGGTACTGTTCGTCAACACAGCCACCGGCTTGAAAATACTTTCATATATACAAACATATGTATATTCAAACATAACATCATAGTCACAGTCGATTCAGGAAGGACTTACGAATGTTTCAATCCGAAAGTCTGTGCTTTGTACATGTTATTTTGGCTGTGTTGGTTGAGTTACTCGGGAGCCCATACACGACACGTCCTACCGGTGCGAACTCCACACACCGTCATTTCTTGTACAATATAACTAGTCCTACATGTGTTATCATTGTACGTATCCCACATTTTGAATTTACATGATTTTATGTGTTATATAAACTGAATTATCACTTCTTGTACAATATAACTATTTCCACATGTGTTTTCATTGTATTTATCCCATATTGTGCTGTGACATGATTTCATGTGTTTTATAAACTAAATTATCATTTCTTGTACACTATAACTATTTTCACATGTGTCATCGTTGTACTTATCCCATATTGTGCCGTAACATGATTTCATGTGTTATTTAAACTGACTTATCATTTCTTGTACACTATAACTATTTTCACATGTGTCATCGTTGTACTTATCCCATATTGTGCCGTAACATGATTTCAACTGTTATATAAACTGAATTATCATTTCTTGTACACTATAACTATTTTCACATGTGTCATCGTTGTACTTATCCCATATTGTGCCGTAACATGATTTCAACTGTTATATAAACTAAATTATCATTTCTTGTACACTATAACTATTTTCACATGTGTCATCGTTGTACTTATCCCATATTGTGCCGTAACATGATTTCAACTGTTATATAAACTGAATTATCATTTCTTATACACTATAACTATTTTCACATGTGTCATCGTTGTACTTATCCCATATTTTGCCGTAACATGATTTTATGTGTTTCATAAACTGAATTATCATTTCTTGTACAATTTAACTATTTCCACATGTGTTATCGTTGTACTTATCCCATATTGTGCCGTATCATGATTCCATGTGTTATATAAACTGAATTATGATTTCTTGTACAATATAACTATTTCCACATGTGTTATCGTTGTACATATCCCGTATTGTGCCGTAACATGATTTCGTGTGTTTTATAAACTGAATTATCATTTCTTGTACAATATAATTATTTCCACATGTGTTATTGTACTTATCAGAAATAACTTGTAAGCAGTAACATCATTCCAGCATTCCACACAGAAATTTGTATTTCAACAGTTTGTAATCTGGGCCATGAGGCCTCCAATACTGATTAAAGACTGAAAGACTAAAGATTTACCATTCTTTAACAAGAAAACTGCTCTCTGAATTTCAGATCGGGAAACGGGTTTTCACAACAGATGAGTTTACTTACAAATTATTTGCTGGTAAACTTCGTTATAATGTCGTGGACAGCCAGTGAAGTTGTTATTACAAAATGTGTTTCATATGATTTTTTTTCCATTTTGATAACACGCAATCATGTTCAAAACAAACGTTACCATCATCATTAACAACTTCTTGTGGAATTCCACGTTGCCTCTCATTTACAAGTCCCAGTTTTCCAGTCCATTACAGTTGTTTTAGAGTTGATCACATCAGACATAATATGAAAGTTAGAGGCTGTTATATTAAATAAATATTTATGAAGACTGACTGACTGAGTTTAGTTTTACGCCGCTTTTAGCAATATTCCAGCAATATCACGGCGGGGAACACCAGAAATGGGCTTAACACTATTTACGAAGAACAATAATATAGCTAACTACAGCTCAACCTGTAATTGACAGACGAAAAATGTTCCAAGCCAATTTGATCAGAAACCCTCCACGTTACAATCAACAAGAAAGTCCAACAATAAACTACTAAAGTGATTTCGTGTGTCGTGTCAGTGAGGTGTATTATCTACTCCCTGTACAAAATCAATATGAATTTGAGCCTACATTCCACACAAACACTGACTGACAGATAATAATTGGCTAATGAACATAACTTTTACCAATATTTGTTTTCAATAATAGAAGACTTAATTAGCAGGATTACTCAAGTGAATAGATTGATCCTGTTCCACTGTTACTGTTACGGCTAATATGACATTTTAATGACGTCCCAGTTACTACTCAGGAGTTCGTGGAGGATACGACTTATTGTGAAAACGATTAATCTATCACCATGATTGGTGTTGTTCTCCTTTCATATGAATAATACAGCTTGAATTGATTCCTGCCGATACAGATTCTGACCAGTATCAAAGGTATACCTTCAGACTACATCAGGGGTGGAACCAAGATGAGGCTTACAACGAGAAACCTGGTGATCGCTGTTTCCTATGCCTTTCTACAAGGTATGTTTCTTATTTTATCATTGAGATTGTGTAACCTAAGTAATCAAATGTTGGGCCAAATTTCTCAAATTGACTCAAATTGTCCAAAATAAATCTACGGGAAGCTATCCCAGATGGTGTTCAACTGTTTTGACTTGTACTACATGTGTTGGTGTTTTCAAAGTAGAATGTGTGTTTTGCATGTGCTTGTGCCATTGCAGCCGATGGTTTCTTATTAAGACATAAGGTTTATGACCGAAGCCAGAAACTGCTGGGTATGGGTTTGGATATCCGAATTTGACCGAAACAGTTCAAGGGGAAGGATTGTACGATATGTTTTTGTGTTTTCAAAGGAAAAGGTTTGATTTAATTTTTATATACGCTTCTGCTGGTGCCACTGATGGGGCAAGATATGCTCATCTTTTCGAGAAGACTTCTAAACACCTTCTAATTGGGATTCATTCACATCTTACGATATGTTATAATTGTGGAAATGTCTTTGTGCTTCTTTTAATTACTTTTCTTTAAGCCACTCTGACGCTATGCCCATAAGATGTGTACTGTCTTAGGTTAGTGTGGTGATGTAGAGCATAGTTGTAATAGTAGTAGAATAATTGGTTATGCACTTTTTACGATCAAGTGGTGTGGCAGTTCAAAACTGAAGAGGGACAAACAAACAAACCTTTGGTATCGTATTAGATATCTGACATACCGTTTCAGGTGTTTCGTGAAGTATTTTGCATAGTACAGAATTATATCGTGGGAATCTATACACTTACTCTCCTTATATGAAGGACATATCATCGATAACGTTTACGTTACAACAGAACACTTTCTTATTGATTAGTGAACATATGTCAGAGAGCTTGTCAGTGAAATGTGAAAGACTTGATTGACTATAGATCCTCAATTATATATATTTAATACTCTGTAACTTTCACGAGACAGGGAGAATTCTATGTAAAACAGAATTTTGACTGTTCTTCAAAAATCATAATATATGTCATTACATGCACATGCTGTAATGAACAGTATATTGATCAATCAGAAAATTTAAGAGCCGGGTCCGTGTCCACAAACAACAAAAAAAGTGTCCTGAAACCTGATGTATCCCACTGAGTGAACATCTAGATGTCTGTGCGAATGGAAACAATATTAAATTTGCAATGATTCCTTTGTACCAAGTTCAAAATTCGGACAAAGTAAAACGAATATTAAAAGAACACTACTTCAGATATAAGTTCAAACCAATGCTCAACCATTGCATGCTTTGACCTTGTCGCTCTAGAATGTTGTCCCTATTGTGACGTCACAATACATATGTAATGACGTCATACTGTAACTGCTACAATCTCCCTGAAGAGTAAAGAAAGAAACATGCTGGATATATATGTAGTGAGCATATAGATAGATATATATAAAGATAGATATAGACTCAGTAACAAAAGTTTAAAAACACCCATATCCTGGCAATTGTAAACTCCAGAAATGTAAGCATGAAGTCAGTAATTTCTGGTAAGAACTGGCATGTCACATCGCACAAACGCACATATTGGGCGGTACAAAACGCATGTGCATCCTGTGGGCTACACTGCATATGATTTAACAGAATATGGGTCTTACTTTAATTCAATCGTTAAAATCATTTTGAAAACAGCTGCACACGTCAGAACTGCTTACTGTCAGATAGAAAACCAACACATGACAAGGTTGTAACACCATGGGGCTTCACATCGGAATGCCAGAAAATGCCAGACCTGAAGCCATTGGAACGCTGAGTGCCGGGATGAGCTTACAGTAGGTTGCCAGACATTTTCAGGTCCACCATAGTACCATTTCACGTCTCCAGTCACGCCAGGTACAAACTGGAACGGTGAAAGGCCGCCCGCGCAGTGGCAGACCTCGGAAAACGACGCCACGTGAAGATCGTTATCTTGTGACGCCATCACATCGCAACAGATTTGCCAGTGCACCAGATCTTGCTCAAAGTCTTAGGCGGACTACAGGAACACGAGGGCATCCGCAGCTCTTCCGTAATCGTCTCCGTTCTGCTGCGCACCGTGCCCGTCGTCCCCTCAAGGCTATACCTTTTTTAACGCCACGTCATGATCAAGAACGGTTAACACGGACGCGTGCCCGTCTTGCTCAGTGGAAGGAAGTGCTTTTTTGTGACGAATCGCAATTGTGCCTGCAGGTAAGAGATGGCAGAAGTCGTGTGTGGCAACGTCGAGGAGAACGTTTTCAACCTGACAACGCCAAGGAGCGTGACCGTTACGTGGGTGTAATTGTCATGGTTTGGGGAAGGGGGGCGAGAGAGGCCAAAGTGATATGATTGTGATAAACGACACCCTGACAGCTCAGCGATCTGGTGATGACGCCGGTGGTCATACCCTTCATTAGGCAACGTCACGGACACCTTTTCCAATAGGACAACGCACGTCCACATACAGCTCGCCTGACTCAAAATCTGCTGCAGTACAACAGCATGCATTGATGTCTTAGCATGGCCAGAAAGGTCACTAGACCTTGCCCCAATCGAACATGTCTGGGACATTCTCGGGAGACGCCTGCGGAAAAACCACCTTAACATCCAGAATGTCAACGACCTTGGCAATGCCCTTCAGCTGGAATGGGGAAACATCACCCTTCATCAGGTTCGGCAGCCCATCCTAAGAATGAAAATGACGTTGTGTGGCGGTACAGCAAGCTGAGGGCCGACGCACTCAATACTGACCTATTCTTGTTTATGTGTGTGAATTTCACTGACCCACCCCTCTCACATTGTGGTGCACATGCTTTCCATTTTGTAATTTTGTAATGTTTGTTTCAGTTTTGTAATCGAAAATGGTCAAAGCAAAGTTTAAACCGATGCAGTGATTCTTATCCTCATTTCATTCTGTTTATCGGACTGTTTCATTGGATGTTGCTAAACTTTTGTTACTGAGTATATATATTTGTGTTCTGCTGAATGTTTGTGGAGTATATAGCGTACATCAAAGGCTATATGTTATGGTAGTATCATAAGCTTACAATGGTCAATTATACGAGTCATGAATGGTAAAGGTTTCTGTAAATGATCCATTGTCGCATCTATATATGTATGTATGTATGTATACGTATGTGTGTGGTATGTATGGTATGTACGTACGTATGTATGTCTGTGTGTATGTATGTCTGTCAGTGAGTGAGTGAGTGAGTGTGTGTGTGTGTATGTATGTATATATGTAAAGTAATATAGCATAGCCTCTTTCAAATACCATCCAAGCTTGTTTTGTCATTGTCAAACATAATCTGAGAAGGATGGTGTCTGACTGTGTTTCAAACAAAAGGCCTGCTTCTCTGTCAAATTCCAAATCAAATTGTCAAATTCAGATGAATCAGTTAAAAATCCGGCATAACATGTATCTTGACGTCCGATTTAAGCACGTTTGAGTCCTATCGGTGTGCACGGCTGGTACTAGCCTTGCTCCAATCTGTCCTACGCTATACCGATGGGTGTGTAGTAATTCTATCCTTTAAAGAGGCAAGTTTGTTATTGATGATTTGTTTTAGAAATGATCATTTAAACTTACAATTATTGCCTTAGAGAATTGGCCAGTCTAGGCTGCTGCATACATTCACATGAATACGGATCGCAACACCTATGATTTTTACTTGCATTTTTGTATTCGGACCCTCTAACGCACCATACACTGGGTTTAGATGTGCGATCAAAGGCGAGAATATGTATCCGATTTCAATTGAAGCTGTATTATTCACACAAAAAGGAGTACAGCACCAATTAAGGTCGTATCCGCCTTTGAGGAGTAATTGCAAGGAATTGGGACGTCATTAAACATGTCATCTCTACCCTGACAGTGCAACACGTGTGCCCGCCACTAATCAAATAGGAATTTACAATAAACTGTACGTACAGCTCGATAACTTGGAACGTCAATTGATTTTGTGGTACCGATTTCGTTCTTGATAAGTTAATATGGGGCCTCTTCAGATGACAACTGCTCAAGGATGGCAAGTCAAGGTTTGTTGAATGCTGGTATGTCGCTAATGGCGGCTGCAAGAGATGTTGCAAATCATCCGTCAACATTCAGCCAATTAACCAGAAAACATCAGCACATTAATAACGTTAAACACCGCGCCTGTTCCGGACGACCACAGGTGACAATTCCCAGGAAGGATACAGTTCAGGGCCTCCTTTCACAAAGCACTAAGGTGATCGTAAGTCACTAAAGTAACCTTAAAGCAATGTTAAAGAATGGGAGTTAAGGTTTACCTTAGTAAAGGTTGTTTCGTGAAAGGAGCCCCAGAAACACAAGACTTCATCCGTTTATGTCAAGTGGCGTGTTAAATAACAGAGTTTCCTCCGTTTGGTCGTTCGCAGAAAGGTTCAAAATCGCTAAAATCAACCGGGTATAGAGCCAGACAACCTATCAGACGTCCGTTATTATTCCATTTTGTTTTGTATTGTGTCAGCCTTGTCCGGCTATCTATAGCCTGTTTTTATAATGTATTGCTGTTTAGAATAATTTTGTGATAGTCTAGTCAGTTTATCGTCGTTTTATGACAGATATTTATTGCATCTAAGTTGGCTTATACATGTATTAATATATAGCTTTCATAGCTACGATATCATTGAAATACTGCAGTCAAATGACAGCACCTGTTAACGTCATATGACCATACTTATGAGCACTTCAAACCACACCAGTTTGGGGCCGTAAAATAACTATAAAATTACCAAATTTTCCCATGTTTTCTTTACTCAATACAGTTTTCCGTTTAGATTTGCCATTTAAGCAATCCGTAAGGGTCAGTTTGTCCAGATAGTAATAGAAATTGAGGTTTTAATATGTATTGATACTGTGAAAACTATTGGGTGTTGCGATACTTTTCCCATGAGTATATATCTGACTGAGATTATCACATAGACTCCATGACCATTTGTACTCAAAGCTCAGGACAAATTGGATGAAAATAGCCGAAAACAAAATTTCAGCATTGAAATACTGGCACCAACGTTACCGTTACTTAATTCTTGGTATCCGACGTACTATATTGGGGCGTGCGAATTCAGTCACAACCCTACAAAGATCTGTTGAACTGTTATTTAACAAAGAAAGAAAAAACCTCAATTTTGATCGGTCAATAGGAACAAGACTGACAAACTCGAAGGCGAAATCATTGTGAAATCAGCATACGAGATCGATAAATAATTAAACAATTATATTGAAACATTCGCATAGGTTTATAATCAAACGGGTAATGACTCCTAGAGAAGTAATTCGGTAATCCAGAATTCTGTTCGAAAAGGAATTAAGTTTGAAGCGGACAACATAGCAAGGGGATACGATTAAGAACAATATTCAAACCTTACAAAATAATGCAAGGTATTACTCGCAGTTCTCAATAGCTTGCTAGTGTAGGACTCAGTAGAGAATGACAAGAAGAATGATCTTCACACATCTGATTGTTTTTTGTGAAATATGAGCTCGCAGAGGCTCGCTCCTGCTCCTATGTATGATCAATTATTAATTTTGATTAATCTTCGCTGACCGAGACGTTTCCAGATTACTCTTGACTCCAAATCTCAGTTTAGTCACTGGCGCACAACCTCTGAACTGAACTGAACTTTATTTACACTCTGGTAGCGTTCTGTGGCATTAGAGAACATCAACTTATCAATATCAATATTATCGACAACTTCTATAAGTTACATACATGTAAGACACACAAAATGGTAATACACTGACGGGCAAAAGAAACTATACCAAAATTTTGATTCCGATGTTTTGATTTTTTAACAGAGAATTTTGTTTCCAAATTACAGAAACATATCACCCAAACACAGCACACAACACTCTGATCCAAAGCGAGAAGAAAATACATTGATTACCGCGTAAACTGTTTTAATGGTAAAAAAATCTAATGCATCACAAGATCGAAATGCTAATGCTTCTACATAAACAGTTACCAGACGACTACGACATTATGGTATTTATCGACCGTTCCGTGGGATGACCTTGACCCCTCATCATCGACGTGACCAACCCCGGTGGGCCCGTACTGTGCAGCACTGTCAGAATCGAAATTGGCAACGAATTCACAATACTGATTGAAAGCCGTTTCCAGTTACACAGAGCAGATGGTCGTGTTCGAGTCTATTGCCGTAGAGGTGAGAGAACTGCACCTTGCTGTATTCAAGAGACAGCTCCATTTGGTGGAGGAAGTGTCATGGTATGGGGTCGCCAATGCAGAGATTTGACGACACAGCTTGTTTTTTACACAAATTGAACAGCCCAGCGTTCCACTGATAAATTTTAACGTCCTGTTCTACTCCGGTTCCTACAGCAACATCGACATGTCATGTTCCAGCAAGATAACGCCAGACCTCATACTGCCAAGATTGTTCAGAATGTGTGAGTGAGTTTAGTTTTACGCCCCACTCAGCAATATCCCAGCTAGATGGCGGCGGTCTGTAAATAATGGAGTCTGGACCAGACAATCCAGTGATCAACAGCATGAGCATCGATCTGCGTAATTGGGAACCGATGACATGTGTCAACCAAGCCAGCTCGTCTGACCACCTGATTCCATTAGTCGCCTCTTACGACAAACATGGGTTACTGAAGGTTCATTCTAACCCGGACCTTCACGGGCCAAGATTGTTCAGAACTTTCTTCAGCTGAATAATGTTCTGCCATGGCCACTTCGGACCTCTCGCCAATTGAACACTTGTTGGAGCACCCTGACCGGCAAATTCGTACATGCGACCGACCTCCTGCCAGTCAACAAGCTTTGGTAAATGCACTCATCCAGGAATGGCAGGCTTTGCCAAACAACGTTATTCGGCGATCGATTAACTCTGTTCGATGTCGTGTTTAAGTATGCATCGATGACTATGGAGGTTATACCCGTTACTGACACTGAATTGTGTATGATAATGACTTCTCTGACAAATCTTCACTTCGCCAAGTTGAGATGAGTGGCGTATAAAAAAATCTGCAACATCAGATGATGAGCCTGACCGTCCGATCCCGTTAGTTGCCTCTAACGACAAGCATGGGTTGCTGAAAATGAGTATTATAACCCGGACCTTCACGGGTGTAATAAATTAGGAGCAATTAGGAAATTGGCAGTATTTTGTAAAATGATGTCTCATTCTAAGCAACGCCCAAAAGAGAAATAACGCAAGAATGTGACATTGATCATTTAACTGGTTAAATGCATGTACAGACATAGTATGTTCTCTCAATAAAGCGATATGTATATAAACTGAACTGAATTATATCAAAACAAAGGTGAGTGCGGCGGGGTGACCAGGTGGTTAAAGCGTTCGCTCGTTACGCGGAAGACCCGGGTTCGATTCCCCATATGGGTATAATGTGTGAAACCTATTTCTGGTATGACTCGCCGTGATATTACAGGAATATCGACAAAGGCACACGCACAAGTGGCGTCATCTCTGAATCACAGCTGCAGTTTTTTCTTCTTGAAGCAGGAATGCAGATTTACAGTTATTGTTTAGGATCAAAATCACGGGGTTATTGCCGTTGTCAACACATACTCTGTCCACAACAACATGGGCGTTCTTGTTCCATCTCATCTTATTCATAGAGAAACATGTTTACAATACAATATTTTCAGGTGTTTCCGTAGGCAAGGCGGAGAACATTATGCTGGCAAAGCCCAGTAAACTCAACAGGGTTGTGTGGAATGCTGAATTCGCCAATGATGGTAACAACAATCCCGGATCCCAACCAGCTAGAGCCTGGTATACTGTGAATCCCTACTGGCAGGGGGATCTACAGGGATACTTCACTGTCCACAACATCTCAGTTACGAGTGACGTCACCCATAATTATGGTAAGTCTGTTATAAACCCGTTCTGTAATTTGTCACATTTAAAACACCACAGATCCTTTGGCTTTGTAATTGTAAACACCATCTTGCAGTAAACCCATCTGCAGTTAATGGCCCCGTTACTGTGATCCCTATCGGTTGTCGGCAAAGGTTGGCAGCGTGCTTCCCTCGCTTCGGTTCGAATAATATTTATAATATCAAAATAAAATATCGCCACCATCAATGGTAGACTCTGATTTCCTCAGAGGATTGTGCTCTCAGATTTCCAACCTCATAAGTATTAATTACTCACGGACAATATATTTAATTCAACATTTTAAGCTCCACTCGTGACATGTCAAATCTTTCTTCGCCGCCCTTTTCCCTGCCGGCTTCCGGTCCAATGGAGTGAAGGAACAAGAATAAGCCGAAATTAAAGTATCATATTGCCTAATTCCACCATTTAATAAAACTGTTGGGAGTTACTTTTCTTTCCTGCCGTCGGTCTTGTTAGAATTTTCTTATCATTTATTCCACAAAAAATCACTTCTGGCAGCAAGAGAGGTAACACCGCGAGTATTCCAAATAACGGACCTGTGATTCAACAAGGATATTTATATTTAACTCCCCCTGTTCCTTCACTCCGTTGAACCGGAAATTGGCAGGTTAAATGGAGGCAAAGAACGATTTGATATACCACGAGTGGTGCTAAAAATGTTGAAATGAATATATTTTACGTGAGTAATTATTAAATGTTAAATATGAGCTTGGAAATCTTAGAGCACAACCCTGTGAGGGATTGAGTGTCTACCCTTGATGGTGGCCATATTCTATTTTGATATTGAAAATATTTTTCGAACCGAATCGAGGGCAATACGTTGCCAGACATTTGCTTCGCGCGCATATAGGAAGACAGGTAATTTTCTTTTGTTGCACAACCTTATTTGCGCTACAGTTTGACTGTGCATAAACACAGATGATTTATTCCATATTCTTGGCAAGACTCCTGGTTGGTTGGTTGTTTAATGCCGCACTCAGGAATATTCTATCTATATGGCGGTGGTCTGTAAATAATCTAGTCGGGACCAGACAATCCAGTGATCGTCAGCAATTGGGATACGATGACATGTGTCAACCGAGCCTGACCACCCGATCCCGTTAGTCACCTCTTACGACAGGCATGGGTTCATGAAGACTAATTCTCACTCGGATGACTCCTGGCAATTCCCAAGCATACATGAAATCAGAGGCGTTGTTTTTTATCATTTACGCCATATTCTTAAACTTAACGCTTTAGCGCTTACAAACATACTGAGGTACTTTGTGAGTCACATTTTTCATCTATTGATGATTTTAATTTTGATGCAACAACAAATAGTCCCTTATAACGAAATATTCGCGTAATAGTTGGTCGTGGGATGTCTGGGGGAACAGCACCTCATCTCACACATACTGAAATGTATTGTGCTCCGACGCTCATACGGTTTGCCCTCATTCTATGAAGATTCATACTTCAAACCATGTACAATATATATATTCCATATGAAGTATATTCCAAATTGGCAATGGACACTTTGATCATATACTCTTCAAAAAACAGAAAATTGAGAAAGGTAAAATTTCAATTTTAGGAACATATTTGACACAAACCAATCCATGCTGTATCCCAGCATGTGGGGGAATGGTTGCCGACGACAAAACGTTTGAAAAAGGAAACGTGTAACAAAATCGTAACGTTACACTCACGTCTGTAATGAATCGTCAAAACGCACCCTACATGAAATGCACGAGCATCATGAAATTGTGTATCACCCTGAACTGAAGCCTATGACTGTAGGTTTTAAAAAGCCACATCAATGGTACTCCACATGCATTGCTATAAGCCACTATAGACGACAAGAGAATGAAAAATCAGACAGGAGCTCAACGACACAACGCAAACGGCCGTTTACAAGGACGGACATTGCAGTGTGATGTGGCAAGGCACTACAGCGTGTCAAGACAGACCATCTCAAACCTATGGACCCGATACAAAAATACTCGGAGAGTTAATGACAGCCCCAGGATTGGTCGACCTGGCGTTACCGCCGCCGCCCAGGATCGCTACATCCGGTTTTCGTTCAAACACCATGGCCGCATCATCCACAACAATCCAAATCCCTAGACTGCTCCGAATCTCCGGCCAGACAGTGCGCAATTGGCTATGGAAAGCCAGACTTTTTGCCAGAAGACCAGTTCAACGTCACGTCGTTCCCTACATCAGCATTGAAGTGAACATATATATATATATGTAATCAAAGTCAGACGCCTAACCCACCCAGCCGTAATCACAGCTTTCGGCCGTGGGAGTCGTGCCAATTTACACTTATTAGAGGTGTACACAATCGAATCCCGGATGGGACTCAACCCAAAACAGTACTAGAATTTGTACTTTACTAAGAAAGTGGAATCCCAAATATAACATATGTTGTATTTCACCACTTTCTAAATGGCATCGTGTAATCATAGCTTTCGGCCGTGGGATTCGTGCCAATTTATACTTAACAGAGGGGTACACAATATCCGCAGTCTAGACTACCAGTTGTCCGACTTCCATTTTTGTGGAAGTTGCGCTGGCTGAGCGGGTTAGGTGGCTGACTTTGTGAGCTGGCGATTTGGTGCCTGACTCTGAGGGTGTGGGTACGAATCCCGGATGGGACTCAACCCAAACATGTACTAGAATTTGTACTTTACTAAGAAAGTGGAATCCCAAATATAACATATGTTACAGCTACATTAATCCTCAGCAACATATAAATAACTTGTTACAGTTATACGTAATTGATTGGGTACAATGCTATTTTGATAAGCATCTTGTCAATCTTGGATCCAACAGGAAAAGAACTTGGGAGTGCATACGTGGAGGTGCACGCCAGTGGCAACAGCAGTTGTCCGGACGGCGACATCTTCATCTGTGGCCAGTGTCCAGCAGTAGTTGGTAAAGGAGAAACCTTCACGTTCACTTGTTCCCATCCACGGCCAGTGAGATTCGTGAAGGTCTGGCGAAACATGACTGATCGATTAGTCATTTCAGAGGTTGTGGTGCATGGGACTCCAGCGACAACAAGTGGTAATATATGTAACTAGTCCTCTGTCTTTCTACAGCAATATAGTCACCAGCCCGTCGTCTCTGTGCTATTTAACCTATCTGGGTGTGTTTTACCCACCAGCAGCATTTACCTCCCTTTACATCAAATGCATAACAATGAGTTGTGTAACCATATACCATCCTGTAGCTGTCAAAACAATTAATGAAAGACAGAAAATAAAGTCACATTTTCATTCAAATATATCCACTCTCCTTGCTAACCATGAAGGATTCATACGAAAGCTTGAACGGTGAAGAAGACAGAAGGACCGAGAAAATATGTCATCCTTTGAATACGTGTGTAATTTAAATTTGTCGATATGGTGGCAGTCAAAAGTAACACAGCCCACCCAGTCTTCATCCATCCCCTGGAGCGTTGGGTTGGTCTAATGGTTAAAACGTTTGCTCGTCACCCTGAAGATCCGGGTTCGATTCCCCACATTGGTACTATATGTGAAGCCCATTTCTGGTGTCTCCCATCGTGATAATGCGGTAATATTGCTAAAAGCACCGCAAAACTAAACTCACTCCACAGTAATATTGCTCCAACATTGCTAAAACCACACTCACTCATTCATCTATCCCCATCGCCGCATGACCGTGTGAGCAAGCATCAGTTTCGAATCTTCAACCATGTGGGGAATCGAACCAGGGTGTTTCGGGGTGACGAGCGAAAGCTTCCACCACTAGGCTATGTTAGTGGGAACAGGTACTGGCTGGCTGCCGTTTGTTTCAAATCCAGTGGCGGATATTTTCGAACATGCGTAGAATCTGTAATATTTGTATGATTGTATGCCTTTTTGTGGAATTGCAAATGAAGAAAATAGTTTTCTGTCTACTAATGACTTCTCCCGAAAACAATATTTGGTTTTGCACCCAATTACTTTTAACTATTGGTGTTTTGTTTGGTAAGCTGTTTCTTCCCGCACAATTGCCTTAACAAAATGTCACTATTTGACGTCACGTTCTGTTGCCACTCACATTTCCTGGTGTCTTGAGTGTTTAATGTGATATTTAAATAAGTATTCTATTTATTGACAGTGTTTACTTTCAGTGACCAAGTATAGTAGGGCGATCGCCACGAAAGTATCAACACCAATGACGTCACTCGCAGTTACTTCCGCCGCTGATTGCAGTTCCCAGTGTTACGCAAACAAGTCTTGTCTGAGTTTCAGTTACCACCCAACAGCTGCCCCCAACTGTCTCCTAACAACAAACCCAGAAGATGCAGCAGAAGCTATCGGATGGTCCACGTTCACCATCGACGTATGCTCAAGTTACAACAGCTGTGAATGACCCATTGTTACTAGAGCCACTATTAATGCAGAATCACATTCAAAAGTGATCAGAAATATTTTATATTGGCCATTATACTTTCTCGGTAAAGTACAGATACTTTTGGGATTGATCACTGACCGTGTTATCTCAAATACAACATGTGTTTCAGAACCATTATTGGTTCACTAGACCTTCTATACTGCAGAGATTATTTCTCTATATATGCAAAATCTTTTCGGAGAACATGGTGGCGTAACTTTGCAATAGTATTGTCTCATTACTGGATACACTACGTTAAGGGATTTTAGTATAATTACACTCGCTACTATAACAAACTTTGGTAGTCTTGCAGTATGTCCTTACATTGTTTTATTCCTCGAGACAAGAGAGATCCAAAATTAGAGCAAGAAGGATATTTTGTGATATGTGTTGTACTACGTTAAGACAGTACTTTTGAAAATACAACAGTTTATTAGAGCCTTTCAAGGCTAATCTAACCCAGAATATTTTAAAAAGTTCCAAAACAGTTTCACTATACATGAGAGGATTCACAACCTGGGCCTATTTGTTTAGCTTAACCACTATAGCCGCAAGGTGAAACTAATCATCCCGCAATATTTTGCCATCGTATACTACCATTGAGCCATTTACTTTTATATGGCTGTCATAGGAATTCCTTTTTAGTGATTATCATTTTGAATACAGATGGTAATTATACCACATTTATTTGCTGTTTGTTGGTATCACATCGGAGTGATTTCTGATTAGCATACTGTTTCAACGTGGGAAACAACACAACAGAAACTAGGGGCGAAGTATTTACCCAACAGTTTTGGATTAAAATCTTATCATCTGACGTGAGAAACGACCAACAACCAAGACCTTGTAGTGTAGACAAAATCTTTCAGCCAACCTTCTACGGAAGAAGTCTCTTTCGTCAAAGCTTCCGAACGGATTGCATGAACCAAATATTGCAAAACGCTACATCAGATCAGATATGCTGCAAGAAGCAGTCAGGAAAATATTGATTGCTTTTCTCGTCGAGAAAGAAATTCTGGACGATGACTTTTGGGCGCTGATAAAAAATAATACTTATGTTTTGGATCTATATAACTTGGAACGTGAAATAGAAAAAAAAAGATGGAAGCTGAGAAAGAAATAAAATCAGAAAGAATTTCAGATTAGGCTGATGGAAATTGAAGCAAAGATAAATAAGGATATTAAGCTGAGACAAATTAACTCACAAAATGACCCCTCTCAGACGTCCCTCCGACGTTCTGCAGATGGTAGATCGACTGCTATGTCAAGGCAGATTAAACTGGTTCAGCCCTTCTCAGTGAAGATCGTGACGTGTGAAGATCCGGATTAGAATTGGTTTTTAGCAATCCACGCTTGTCTTAGGAATGCTTCCTTTGGCTGCAAAATCACTGTGTTTGTTTTCGGCAGTGAGGGTTTTCAGGCATGAAGTCATATGGTTATAAACCAGAAGGTGTTCAGCCTATCCCAGTCATCGTTTAAACATTTCAAAGAATGGTTCTGAGTTTGTTGACAAAATGTCAAGTTCTGCACCAGTTGGTTCTAAAGTTATTTCAGGATTTTCGTCAGATTAGAGCTAACTTGTAAATGATGCTGTTCACCTAGCATTTTAGAGTTTAGAACGCTTGCTGTCAGAAATAGTCATTCTTTCCCCAACGCTTTTGTGAATGTCCTGTCACAACCTTTGAATCTTTCCACAGATGAGTTAACTTATGTAGAAAAGTCAGCAAATCTTGCTGTTGTGAGAGATTGAAATCTCCTTTTGTTAGTAGAGGTTTTGTGTCAGTTAAATGTAACAGTTCAATGGTTAAACCCATTGTCTTTTAAGGGACGACTTGGGTTGGTATTTTCCGATGTCCGTGGCGTCATAAACTCAGAGTTTTGTTTAGAGGCTGAATTTTGGTTAAGAATATATATTGAAGTTAATGTATATTAACTGTTTAGTGACTACATACACTTTTTTTAAACTCAGTTATGCGGCAATTACACCTCTGACGTCTGAGATGCATTTCAATGATCTGGTTTGATCAACAAAAATAGTGTACATAGAGTTCATATTCATAACAGAAATATCCAAGATGCACAATGTGTTTTAGTAGTTAATATTGTTCAGGCCGTAAATACAAATGCTGTTTATGGTTGTCTATATATAAGGATTTTACAACAACTTCTTTCAAATAAGACGAGTATATGGATGGCAACTTCATGTTTATTGTATATCACAGCGTTTCTGGGCTACGTCTTGCCCCTTCTTCCACCTGGAAGAAGGGGCAAGACGTAGCCCAGAAACGTTGTGATATACAATAAACAAAAACTTGCAATCCATATACTCGTCTTATATATTCACCAACTTCTAAATGCCTCTCAACAATCTCACAACTTCTTTTCAGACCGTTTGGGTTTGTGCTCAAAATAGGTGTTATGCAATTGATTTCTTCATTAAAGAAACTCTCAGTTTCATCCTGCGATGTTCGTGTTGTTTGTTATGTATGAGCTGTGAACTGCAATTGCCAAGCTGATGCAACTAAAATGTTAACCGATTGCCTTGGTGTGAAACCATCAAAACAAAGAAATGATGTAATTAACAACTAAAAAATCGATCACACTTAACCGAATGTAACAACCATAATTACAGACTTAAGATATTGTTATATTGATTCCGAAATGATAATCCATAACAGAACATGGTTTGAAATCAACACACAACAGGGATGGGATGTAATCAGCACTTGTATTCTAAGGCCACGTATAACAATTTTCTTGTTTCTCATTACCGCCAGACCCTAAGACTTTTTTTATTAAAAATGTTCTCTAGAGAAAATACAGCTTTACCTCTCAAAATGTGCATGCATATTTGACACTTCTAAGTTTTGATTTTCCATCAGATTCGGTGTAAATTACCACACAAATCAATGGATTTCTATCATAAAATAAAATAAAAAAGTAAATATTAAATCCGCCGGCCCGATCAATATGTTTTTGAAAGGTGATGGGAAACCAGAATATTTTGTGTGGCCTAATATTGACATAGTTCACAAATCAAAACAAATCACTGGAAGGTATCACTGTGGCAATACAAATTCAGAAGAAATACGGTAAGGAGCAGCGATTGTAGCTAAAAAGACAATGCAGGTATCAACCATCATATGTCAACAACAGTAATCATACTGAACATATTCATGTCTGTGTATGTTCACAGGCACCCAATCGCCAGCAAACAAAGTCAGCCGCCTAACCCGCTCAGCCACCGCGACTTCAACTAGTACTAAAATTTGTACTCTACTAAGAAAGTGTAATCCAAAATATAACCTATGTTGCATTTGACCACTTTCTAAATGGCATCGTGTAATCATACATATGCACAGTATGTACTGACAAGCTCCAGATTAACAATAACATGTAATTGATAACAATAGCGCATAATGGGGTGAGCCCACATGGAGAATAAAACAACAAATAGCACAAGTCCTGAAGTCGCGGCAGCTGAGCGGGTTAGGCGGCTGACTCTGTGTGCTGGCGATTAGGTATGAGGAGGGTGAGTTCGAATCCTGGATGGGGCTCAACTTAAAACGTACTAGAAATTGTACTTTTACTAAGAAATTGTAATCCCAAATATAACATATGTTACATTTGACCACTTTCAAAATGGCATTGTGTAATCATTGACACTTTAGTATTATAAAATGATCATTAACTGACACAATGAGATTAATTACTGCGATTCTTCAGTATATTTGGTTCCACTCTGTCTCATAGCAACAGATGTGGGATAAAATACCCTACAGACATACTTTAATCAATACCCAATGTTCTCAAATACGGCAAGTGGATAAACGTTCATCGGCTTTAATGTAGACTTGGTCTGTTTCATACATATTGTATACTTGAAACACGCATATACATAAGCAACCAACTGGCTCAGGTCGATGTGAATGTATAGAAGCATCTGGAAGAGGCATCACGGTGACGCATGCATGTATGGAACATGGTGTTCACTCTTTGCTTCGTCCTACTGGAAGGTATGTTTTCATTTTAAGGATGAAGTTCAACTGTTCCCAAAGATCAACTGTTCCTAAAGCTAAAGTAAGGCGTTGCATTCCTCACAAAACGTTGTGTTCAATGATATCGTCATAATATTACTTTTAAGGGTTTAAGACAATTGGTAAAAGGTAAAAGCAAATGTGAGTATGACAAATTCTGGGAGTCCTGATATGAACCATGTGGGAATTAGACACATGTGGGAATTAGACATACATAAACGAAAATGGCACCGATGTATTTGAGAAATGTAAACGAACAGATGTAAGCTTTAGATTAAATCGAGCTGCGGGACATCATCATTTTAGACATATATATTCCACGCATCCGTTACAATTCAATGCTGAGAAATACAACACGCTTAATGCATTAAATGATTAAAAGCAACGTACTGAATGAACAACGGGGAAAACTCTATGGCTATACAACTTCGTCAGTAGTGTAAGCAACGTTTCGGTGTAGATGTAGATAACACCGTTATCAAGCACTTGATGTACAATACTGCAGGAAATGCTTATATATACATGAGTAAAGTTTATACAGTGGTGGCTGAATGGGCCCGGTTCAACCAATCGGCTGGTCATGCCAAGCCCTGTGCATGTCTATTTTGCTGCACAAATGCAAACAAACTCTGTAAAATTTCTGTTAGATGCATTGGCTTGTGATTATTCTGTTTGAATTTCAAAAACCTCAATTTTGTACTTTGCCTAGAGTCGTATGCCCAGAAGGCGGTGGCTCATGGGCCAATCTGGTAGAATAATTACTTTCTATTTTTCTGATTGAGTATATCATCCCAGTAGCCTTGATGCTGCAAATAGGCGGTCCACTTGTTTTTAGCATTGTCCTTGTGATACTCCGTGGTGGGTGGGGAGCTGGGATGATGAATCTTATATACTTTAACATGAATCCTGAAACCCCCTTGGAAAAGAAACGTCAGATTGATACTGATGAAAGTACACCTGCTAGTTGTAGACCATCTAAGCAAGTAGAATACTGGCCAAGATTTCTAGTGATATAATCTCCAGATAAGAAACCAATTAAACTCGACCCGTTTGCTGTTTCTGAAGCAGTGTACGGTATAGCAGGTGAGGTAAAAATTATCAAACGAATGAGATCTGGATAGAATAGAATGTAGCAAACGACAACAAGCGTCTAACCTGCTGTCAATTGATAACTTGGCTGGATTCCCTGTTTCAGTGTCAATCCATCGGACCCTTAATTCTAGTAAAGGCATTGTAAGAGATAGAGATCATCTTTTAGAGGACATGACAGAACTTGATATCATGCTAGAACTCAAAGGCCAAGGTGTCACGTACATGAAACGATTTACAAGGCCTCAGAACTCAGAAGTGGTACCAATCAACACGTACGTGTTCTCATTTGTGTCTCCATCGGCACCAAGATCAATAAAAGCAGGATATTGTAATCTTAAAGTTGAACTGTATATTCCTAATCCTTGAGGTGTTTTAAATGCCCAAAATTTGGTCATGGAATAAATTCATGTACAAACCAAATAACTTGCGCTCATTGTGGGGAGCAATCACACGTCACAGAAGAATGTACCAACAACTTTAAACAAAGCGTCAACTGTACTGGTAGGCATTCCTCGTCGTCCAAAGATTGCCCAGTTTGGAAGAGGGAAATGGAGGTGAATAAGATAAAGCACAGTCAAAACATCAGTTATGCTGAAGCTTAGAAACTTGTACCAACTGTCCATGAAGGTGAATCGTATGCTTCAATTACCTAAAGACCATCCACGACCACAGTTTCAGTCGATTGTCAGACAGAGCTGACATGGACTAATTCTACATCTCCTGTACTTGTCCCAAATCAAGAACTGTCAGTGCGAGGAGAATCTGCTACACGGACTGCTGACGTGTTACCTGCTACAGTGACCTCATCTAAATATATCTCTTCTTCCCAAAAGGGTCCCGCATGTCCAAAGACACAACTAGAGACAAGACGGTCCTACAGTCCCAAACCCAGACAAGATTCATGTCCATTAAAAACTGTACAAGAACCTCAGGTTAAACAAGCTGTGAAAGGAAACCCCAAAATAAATAGACTCAACCAAAGCGATAGACTCGCTAAGGGTTCAAATGATGAGATCCAGCTCTATAATAAGTTTGGATCCCTTGAGGACATGGATGTGTCTGACCATAGCTCTGGTAGGACACATAGCTTGTCACCCTCAAGGAAAGCGAGGGGTAGATCTCCCGTACATCCTCCGTGGAAGAAATAATGTCTTCTGCAATAATTCAGTGGAATTGTAGAGGACTCAGAACTAATTTTAATGACTTACAGCTATTAGTCCAAGATCTTAATCCATCAATATTCTGCATTCAAGAAACCTATCTAAAGCAGACGGTTCATTTTGACCTACGTCAGTTTAATGCATATCACTACTTTTCTCCCCCAGGTAACAGAGCTACTGGTGGATCATCTATCCTGGTGAGGAATAATGTCACACTCAAAACAAATATCCAAGCCGTGGCAGTGCGACTTACATTGCAAGTTGCATTTACTCTGTTCATTGTATCTTCCACCTTCATCTGCTATCCAGTTAACTGATCTACAAGCTCTTTATGATCAACTTCCTAAACCCTGCTTGATCGTGGGTGATTTAAATGGCCACAACCCACTCTGGGGTGGTACTAATACCAACACCAAAGGTAAATTACTAGAGGATTTCATCTCAAATAATGATCTATGTATTTATAATGACGGTTCAAAGACATATTTACATCCTGGCACAGGAACATATTCAGCTCTTGATTTGTCTATTTGTGACTCCAACCTATTGAGTGAATTCGAATGGCCAGTACAACAATATTAAAACCCGTGAACGCAACTGATGTTCCTCCATCGTCAAGATGGAATTTTAAAAAGGCCAACTGGCCTTTATATGAAAAACTCAACTTAAGTTAAACCTGAACGTTTTATTAATGTTCCTGATGCTATAAAATATGTTTCTGACATATTAAGCACCATAGCTGATAAGTGTATCCCAAAGTCCTCTACAATTCCACACATACGGAAACCATGGTTTAATGCTGATTGCAAACAGGCTAGGAAGGCACGGAAAAAAGCTCAAGATTATTTCCGTCATCATCCTATGGTCCACAATTTGAACAAATTTAAAATCTTAAACGCTAAAGCACGGCGTACATTCAAACAAAATAAACGCCAATCTTGGCAAAACTATGTATCTAATATCCATTCCCGAACACCTTTTTCTAAGGTATGGAATATGATCCAGAAAATAAAAGGTAAGGGCTCTAGATTTAGCATTCACCATCTCAAAGATGGAAACCAGTTATTAACTAATAAATCCGATATTGCTTATAAACTTGAAACATTGGCACAACAATCTTCTTCCTCAAATTATGCACCCCAATTCCAAAAGAATCAAAAACAGCAAGAAAGAAATCTATCTATTTTACTTCAGATAATGGGGAAGATTACAACGAGTTATTTTCGACTCATGAGCTCCATACTGCTCTTGATCAGGCCCATGATACTGCTACAGGAGCTGATAACATCCATTATCAACTTCTGAAGCATTTATCTGAATCATGTTTAGAGACCCTTTTGAGTATTTTCGATGATATTTGGACATATGGGGAGTTTCCTTCCTTATGGCGCGATGCTATTATTGTACCCATCCCTAAACCTGGGCGTGATCACACTGATCCTTCGAATTATCGACCGATCTCATTAACAAGCTGCGTTTGCAAAACCATGGAAGGCATAATAAATAATCGACTTGTGTGGTACTTGGAAACTAATAACTTTCTAACAGATATTCAATGTGGTTTCCGTAAAAACAGAAGTACCATCGATCATTTAGTGCGTTTAGAGTCCTTTGTTAAAAATGCAATTATTCAAAAGCAACATGCAGTGTCGATCTTTTTCGATTTAGGAATATGAGGCATATGACACAACATGGAAACATGGTATTTTAAGAGATTGACACGATTTTGGATTGAGAGGCCGTTTGCCTCAATTCATATCCAACTTTTTAACTGACAGGCAATGTCAGGTACGGGTGGGTTCTATCCTGTCTGATCATTACAATCAGGATCAAGGTGTCCCACAAGGTAGTATTTTGTCTGTGACTTTATTTAGTGCCACAATGAACAGTTTATCAAAGGTTTTAAATGGATCTCTTTTTGTGGATGATTTTAATATTTCTTGTTGTGGCAAAAATATGCATGCTATTGAACGGCAAATGCAGTTATGTCGAAACAGAATAAATAAATGGTGTCTAGAAAATGGGTTTAAATTTTCTAAGCCCAAAACTAATTGCATACATTTTGCCGTAAATATAAACCACATAAAGACCCTAAACTATTTCTAAACGGCACACCTATCAAAGTTGTAAAGGCGGCCAAGTTTCTGGGTCTTATTTTCGATTCCCACTTGACGTTTTTGCCGCATATTAAATCACTTAGGGCTAAATGTCTGAAGGCCCTCGACTTGTTAAATGCTGTTTCCAATTCAAAATGGGGAGGTGATCAAACTACCCTACTTCACTTATACAGATCAATCATTCGCTCCAAACTTGATTATGGCTCCATTGTACATGGGGGGGCCTGTAAACGCAACTTTAAAATATAAGATTCTTTCCATCACCAGGGTCTCAGACTTTGTCTTGGATCTTTTAGAACTTCTCCTGTTGATAGTCTCTACGTCGACCATCTCTTAAAACGACGTTAAAACTATCTCTACAATA